AGTAACTCCATGCAGATGGGATGAAGATGAGAACTAACATTTATCAGGCACTTATTGTGTGTCAGGAAGTATACCTGGTGATTTAGGTACATTTTCTCTAACCTCACAGCCCTTTGAATTATATATTGTTACCTTTACTATTATTATATTTTTATTTTTTTGAGTTGGCTCTCAATCTGTCACCTGGACCGGAGTGCAGTGGCATGATCACTACTCACCACAACCTCAACCTCCTGGGCTCAGGCGATCTTCCTGCTTCCGCCTCTCAGATTGCTGGGACTAGAGGCACCTACTACCACACCTGACTAATTTTTTGATATTTTTGTAGAGATGAGGTCTTGCTATGTTGCCCAGGATGGTCTCGAACTCTTGGGTTCAAGCAATCCTCCCACCTCAGCCATCCAAAGTGCTGGGATTACAGGCGTGAGCCACAGTCCCTTTATCTTTATTTTTTAATGTGAGGCCACTAGGGCTCAGAGAGGTTAAGTGAGTTGCCTGAGGCATCACAGCTAGTGGAGATTCAAGTTCAAGTCTGTTACAGTCATGCAAGGGAATTTGGCTTTCTCTGTTTTGAAGTTTCCTGGCCTTTGTAATTCTAGATGGAAGCATTTCTCTGGCAAGAACTTTTTGACAATTGTATTTTATATGTCGCATACAAACATTTACTCATATTTTCAAGTTAGAAAACGTTAGACTGGACTATTCAATGTATTCTTTGTGGGCTGCTGTTGAAGGCTGCAGCAATATCTCCTTTAACAAGAAGGCTTGGATCTAAAAATCAATGGGTAAGGTGAAAATCACTATGGCAAAATTATCTTCAAGAATCCTATGGTAAGGCGTCTTGTTAAAGGATCACGAAGTTCCTTTCTGTGAGTCCAACACAGCCAGTCCAACACAGCCAGTCTTTCTTCCATTGTTGAAAGCAATTGAGCTTTAACAGCTGCTCCTGTTGTGGCTTCTTCTGTTGAGCTTCAGATGATGTAGTTTGCTTGTATTTGGAGCTATGCTGGGTGGTAATTCAACTCTTTTTTTTTGAGTCGGAGACTCACTCTGTCACCCAGGCTGGAATGCAGTGGCACGCTCACAGCCACTACAGCCTTCCAAGTAGCTGGAACTACAGGTGTGCACCACCATGCCTGGCAAATGTTTTTGATTTATTATAGAGACAAGGTCTTGCCAAGTTGCCCAGGCTGATCTTGAAACTCTGTACTCAGGCAATCCTCTTGCCTTGGCCATGATGCTCAGCCAAGTAATTTCACCTCTTTTTTTTTTTTTTAATTGGAGTCTCACTCCGTTGCCCAGCATCGACCTGCTGGGCTTAGGCGATCCTTCTGCCTCAGTCTTCCAAGTAGCTAGAACTACAGGCACACTCTACCATGCTCAGCTAATTTTTTTTTTTTAATTTACTGTAGAGATGAGGTCTCGCCAATTTGCCCAGGATGTTCTCGAACCCGAGGGCTCATGCAATCCCCTCACTTCAGCCTCCCAAAGTGCTGGGATTATAGGCTTGAGCCACGGCGCCTGGCCAAATCTTTAGACACCAAAGTCTCATTCAGCACGGTGAGATACTCTACAGTACTAGATGTCTTCTGAAACCCAGATCAAGAGAAGCAATATCAAATTCGTGTCTTATTTTGGTGCTTACTGTCAGTGATTTTCAAAAAACCTTTAGCTGTACATCAGAATCACCTGGAGGGCTTATTAAAGCACAGATTACTGGGCTCTATGCCCATAGTTTCTGATTCAGTAGGCCTGGGATTCAGCCAAAGGGACTGCAGTTCTGAAAAGTTCCCAGCTGATGCTGATGTTGCTGGTCTGGGACCCTCACAAGGAGAACCCTTGTAGTAGCTGAGTGGAAGCAGGTGGAGTCACTTGTCTGTCTTCCTTTCACTGTCTGTCTGTTTCTCTTGCTCTCTTTTATTTTTAGGCTGAGTGAATGTAGTTGAATTAGTTTAAGTTAAATTCAGGGGTTATAGCTCAGCCAACTCTTTATTCCATTGCTTAGCTCAGTACTTGGTACAGAATAGGAATTCAACAGATGCTTGTTGAATGAATGAATCAGTACGTTAAAATATATAATAGGAAGGTTTTATAGCACATGGTCATCATTATTATATACCTAGTACATGCAAGTGACTTATTTTCTTAAAAAGCAGACAGGCTTTAGATTAGAATAGCTTATATTTTAGAACTACTTTTGGTGATGATCATAGATATCAGGAACTATGCAGTTAGGTGCACTTTTGAGACACTTACATTTTGGGACCTGTGGTATGAATGTGAAATGGTGTGTGTGTGTGGGCGGGCGGGGGGTGGCGTGGAGTGGGGAGATAAAGAATGAGAATTTGTGTGTAGATGGAGCTGGGTGCAGGTACTCGTGTCTGTTTTAGAATGACATAGGGAAGTTTTGCAGGACCTGGGTTAGGTCAGAATGAACACAGGTACGAGAAGGATGAAGCTGCACTGGAACAGCCTATGTCTACTCCTGACACCAGGCTCTGTATTCTCCCATCCCTTTAAAGCACTGGGGAATTCAGTCACCATGATCCTTATAGTTTAGTGAGGCTATGAATTGTGGGATAACTCTGTAAATTAAGATATGTGTACACGAATCTCATCATTTTAGAGGACTTGATGATTATATTTTAAATGGTGCTTTAAAAAAATCTCAAAAATATATTGAAAGTTCAATTTAAACTTACAATTATTTTGTGATTTTTATTTTTGAGATATTTTATATTATTTGTCTTGCAAAATCTTAATATCCTATGTGTTTTGTCTCTTTAAGTATAAACTTATTTCTTTAAACTTATTTGTTGAAATTCATCTTCTTTATGCGGAAATCTTTTTAAGTGAATAACAGACAGCATGACATTCTATCTCTAAATCCATCCATGTACATTTTCTTTTGTTGCCAAGATAATATAGCTCAATAAAATTAACAAATCTCTTCTCTGAAATGCCTGGGACCACAAGTGTTCCAGATTTCAGATTTCTGGGGATTTTGGAATATTCACGTTATAGTTACCAGTTGAGTGTACCTAATCCATAAATCTGAAATTTTAAATGCTGCAATGAACATTTCCCCTGAGTGTCATGTCAGCATGCAAATGTTTAGATTTTGGAGTATTTTGGATTTCAGATTTTTGGATTAGGGATGCTCAACCTGACTCATTTAATACCTAGTCCATATTAAAATTATCCAGTTGTCCCTTGATTGTCATTCATATGTTATTTGATCAAACTAGGATCCAACCCAGGATCATGTATCTAGTTATTACATTTCTTCAAATTCACTTAATCTCACACAGTCCTTTTTCATTACGCTGCCTTGCCTTTGTCTTGTAAAATATCCCACTTTCAGTTTTATCTGATTGTGTCTTCAGAGTGTCTTTGGCTTGCTCTTCTACCTCTGTATTTTCTGGAACCTGGAAATCAGTTCTAAAGACTGCATTAAAGTACAAGGTAAAATACATCATAGGTGATACATGCTTCGTGTTGTGCCATGTGAGGAAGTATATCCCTGCCTGCCCCACCATTAATATTGCTAACTCTGATCACTAGACTAAGGCGAGGGCAGTATGATACTTCCACTGTAAAGTTGTGTTATCCTCTTGTGACAAAAGAATATTTCTGTGACACTATGAATGTTCATTTTCATGTAATCCATTTTCCTAGTGCTTTAACAGTTATTGATCATTCTTGCCTGAATTAGTAACTTTATAGAACTATCATTTTTCTAATTCTGCCTTACTTCCTGGTTAGCTGACGTTTGACAGAGCTCTTCTTCAACTGGGACTTTTTGGTACCCTCACATACAATTCTGTTGGACAGGCAGGTTAAATGTTGGATTTTTGCTTTTTAATTCCCAATTTCAAAGTAAGGAGTTGATTTAATGAACACCTTAAATAGTGGCAAATGAACTTGTTTCTTTAACAAAAAAATCATTATGGACTGGTAGAGTTTCATGAATTGAATATTTCAATGGACTATAATCATTTATTCCTTTTATGTTCAATTTATTTTATGTTCAATTTGTTCAACTGCTAGCCAGTGATAGTACCTTGTAGGCAACTCCTGTATCTGTTAAATACAATTCCATTAATTTTGAGCACTTGCTTCCTTGCACAGCAAGATGCATAGACTTATCTTGTAACTTCCTTGTCCCAATTGTCAGTCAGCTACTTCATTGGCAAGCCCTGGTTTCTTCAGTGGGAAAAGTATTAGATACCAAAATCCTAGCACTTAGGATGTTTATTGTGTACTGGGTTGACAATGTTTATGAACCTTTTCAGTAGCCTATTTATATTTAGTTCATGCATTTTCTTTTTTTTTTAATTCATGCATTTTAAATATTGGAATTTTGTATAATGAAAATTCATATAGTAAGGGATAGCTGTATTTTGAAAAATAATGGGATGTATTGTATTCTTGAAAATTGCTAAGAGAACATATTTAAGTGTTCTCATAAAAAAAATGACAAATATGTGAGGCAATGCTTATGTTGATTAGCTCAAAGTAGCCATTCTACAATGTATACATATTTCAGAACATCAGGTTGTATAACATATATACAATTTTTATTTGCTAATTACAAAATACATTTAAAAATAAATGAGGGCAACCCCCTTGGGTTCCCTTCTACTGTGGGAGCTTTTCTGTCTGCTCAATAAATCCTGCTTTCAAAAATAAAAATAAATAAATAATAAAAAAGTTCTATTTCTGTTACCAATTCAATTTTAACATGTTTTTAAGTAGCTACTTGATTTTATAATTGTATCTTTTGCATTGAAAATCTTGACCACCCATAACAAACATTGCTTTATCTTATAAAGAAAATGATTTCAAAATAACACTATTAATATTATTATTGATCGTAAGCCAAATCAAATGTAAAATTTGTGATTATTTTTGTAGTATAGATCAATTTTAATGGAATAATTAATTTAATTACTTTTATGTTGATCTCATATAATAACTTGCCTTTGAAATATGTCTTGTCTGTTTTGTTTTCATCATAGGTTGATCATTTTGGATTTAATATTGTGAAAACTTTTAATCAGCGGTACCTAATAGCTGATAAATACTGGAAGAAAGATGGTGGTTCAATTCTGTTCTACACTGGTAATGAAGGAGACATTATCTGGTTTTGCAATAATACGGTATGTGCAGATTTGTGAAATTCCATGCTCTGACAATTTGTCTTTTATTATGATAAGCTGGAAAAGATGTTTTGTTGTATACATGACCAAGTATTACTGTTCTTAATTATAAAGTTATTTAAAAAAAAAAAGATGAACTCACTAATAATGAAAAAGTGGCAAAAGTATATGAATAGGAAGCTCACAAAAAATACAGATATCCAACACACCTGCATGTTCAGCTTTAAAGAATTACAAATGAAAGGAATGATATACTATTTTTGAAAAATTAAATTTTGAAAGTTTAAAAAAAAATCCTAACTTCTTTCTAGAGTGAACAAGAATATAAGAGAAACAGGCATAGGAATTTTTTATATATAGTTTATTTTGATTATGGCCTCTAGAAAGTAAACAGGAATTTTTGTATGTTTGTTCAGTGTTATAGCCTGAGAGTCCAGGACTGTATTAGATATACAGTTGGTGCTCAATAAATATTTGTTAAATGAATGAATGAATAAATCCTAAACAAAGCCAATACAAATAAAAATGTACACGTTTGACTGTCAATTATGAATATGGGAATAGGTAAAGCTGTAGCTATATTTTAGCTTAGGTTTTCTGTTCTACCATTTTTCTTATATTTGTGAGGGTTAAAAATAATATAGTCTGTTAGCTTGCTTCCCTGACTATATTTTCTATTACCTTTTATAATAATTCTTAAATCCATTAACAAAACTATGTATTTATTTATTTTAAGGAGAAAACAGTATTTATTGAGAGGACAGAAAAACTCTCATAGTGGGAGGAGGTTGCCCAACAAATCTTAATTTAGAAGGACACATGAAAGGAAGAAGTTCTCTTTTTCAATGTGTTAGTGCTGTGACTAGAAAATGTCAACTTTCTACCAAAAAGCTATGTCTGGAATGGTGCTGGTAGTCAGGGGGTCTCAGTAAATATTTGTTGAACTAATATGAATTGAAAGGAAAGATATGAATCCAATTATACTGTTATTACATTCCTTATTTTCAATTAATATCTTAGAAATGTTAAAGGATCTAGACATGTTAGTTGAAATAAGATATTTTCCTGAGAAATTATATTCTGGAATGTCTGTTTTTTTTTTTTTAGTTTAGTGACAAATTAAATCAGGACTTCCTTTCCGTCAGATTCCCGCTCTGTTATCCTGTGAAACAGCAGAGGCTTCCTTGTCTTTTTTCTCTTTTTTTCTGTGACTTTTGTCTTATGTGAAGGCCACAGGGCAACTTCTCCCACCCAGTGATTTTTCCAGCTCCTGTTCTTTACTTTTGGCAGATAGCTGTTTCTGCCTCTACCAGGCACTGCATTGACAGACTCTGTGGCAGAACTTGAGGAATCTCTGTTGGAATGGACTCTAAGTGGAAATGATGGAAAGGACTCTAAGTCCATCCATGTTGCTGTGAAATTCATGATTTTGTTCTTTATGGATGCATAATATTCCATTGTGTATAGGTACCACATTTTAAAAAATCCAGTCCTCTTTTGATGGGAAGCACTGTTGGTTCCATGTTCTTGCTATTGTGAACAATGCTGCAATAAACATACACGTGCAGGTTTCTTTTTTATAGAGTGATTTGAGTTCTTCTGGGGATTATACTGAGTGATCTTTCACAGAAACAAAGAACTGAGTATCGCATGTTTTCACTCATAAGCGGACCTTGAACAACTATCGTAATACTATAAGAAAAGGATTGGTAGTAGCAGGAAACTGCAGGGGTGTGGGGGCAGGGAGGCAGAATTGGCAGTAGTGGGAATCTGCCCGGGAGACACACCCTATCAACAAGGGTACCTGCATAGTGAACATTTGTATACCTAACCCTAAATTGTACCCCACATCTTTTTAAAAAATGTGGTACATATACACAATGGAATATTTATGCAGCCATAAAGAAGGACAAATGTATGGACTTCGCAGCAACTTGGATGGATTTAGAATCTATCATACTCAGTGTGATCTATCACAGAAACAGAAAACTGAGTTCCACATATTCTTACCCATAAGCGGACCTTGAACAATTATCATAATACTATAAGAAAGGGATTGGCAGTAGTGGGAAACTGCCAGGGGAGAGGTGGGCATACCTCATCAACAAGGGTACCTGCATAGTGAACATTTGTACACTTAACCCTGAATTATACCCCACATCTTTAAAATAAAAAATTTTAAAAAAGAAAAAAAGAAATGGTGGAAAGGAAGTGGGAACAGTTCTGGAGAACCAACTAGATGCAGATTCTTAGAGGGCAGATTCTGGCCCCTTCCCCAGCCCCAGACACCTTCCTTCACATACCAAAGTGTTCCAGTGCATATTCACTTCTGGACATTCATCTATTGAGAGGCAGTGTAGCATAGTAGACAAAAGTGGAAACTTCAAGCAGACTGACAAAGTTTGAATTCTGATTTTGCCACTTTGCTATGTGATGTTGGGCCAATTTCTTATTCTGTGCCTCAGTTTTCTCATCTGTTAAATGAGTATAGTAATAATATCTAGTTAGTCCATAGAACTGTTGTAAAGACTAAATAAGATTAAGGGACTTGCAAGCATATAATGTTAAAAGATGTTATTGTATTACATTTACTTCTTTTGAAAAATAAAAATACCCCTGAAATAGGTCCAGACAAATACTTATTACATTGTGAACCTGGTCAAAGAAATAGCTTCTTCTCAAAGCCTGAGGTCAACTCCACAGAGGTCTGAATATTCTGATGGGTGGTCCTTACCCTTAAGCACTCTGTCTGGTAGGGTAAGACACTCATGTAAGCAGACATTGTAGCACAGTATTAGTGTATCAGCACAGTGGTGTTGAGAGGAAGGAGTGATCAGGACTGCCAGGATGGGGCAGACAGAGGTGGGCTGTTGAGTTGAATGTTTGCAAGACCTGTGGATAAAGGGCAGGGAATGAATAGATCCTTAAGAGACAGCATGGGGGCTATTAAAACTATCTCTGGTTAAATTCTTTATCCTCACATGAAGCAGCTCTTCTAATTGTTTAATTGTTCATTTCTTGATTAAAACAAACAAAAACACTTTGAGTCTTTCTTAGGATGTAAACTCATTAAAAGCAACAATGTACACTAAGGAATGATAGATAGTGTGTGATGTTTGCTGCCTGGAATGCTTTGTTGAGAAAAGACTGTGAGGCCACAACTGAGATAAGTGGAAAAAAAAAAAAAAGGCAGGGATTGATGCATGACCATCCACAGGTGTTGGAGCAAGGAGGTTAACAGCACTTGGTGTTTGTGCTAGAGACAGAGAGCCTATGTTTAAATCTTGGCTCTGCTACTTATTAGCTATGTGTTTGTTGAAGTTATTTAAACTCGTGTGCTTCAGTGTCTTTGTAAAATGGATTACTCAAAGTGTCTATTTCTTAGATTGGTTGATAATTAAGTGAATTAATACATGTAAATGATTAGAACAGTGCCCAACACATTATAAGAACTCAGTTAATATTAGCTATTATTAGCTGCTATTTATTTTCCAGTAAATAAGATCAATCTAAAGGCCCTGGGGAGCTTAGTATGCTTATTTGCACTGTTTTCTTTTTTATGTTGTAAATACCACATATGAGAACATGGCTTACTTCGATTTCTTTAGCTCTTTCCTAGAAGACTTGGCACACTACGATTTAAAGACCACTTTAGATACAATGTTGATTCTAGAGCTAGAGTGTCATGATAAGAAGAGTTGGAGTGACAAGCGGATGAGCAACCTGGGATTATTTTAAATTGTTTCACTCTAATACAGTGTGAGATTGATGTGCAACAATGAAACAGCACTTATGTAGAACAAACATACGCTGTGCAAGTTTTCAGAGAGCTCTTTTTGGCTTGGTTTAACAGCTATATTTCATACAGTTTGCAAAAAGGTTCACTGAGTTTTTTAACATCCTGATTTTATCTTGTGAATTTGTAAACTCTTCTTAGGGATTCATGTGGGATGTAGCTGAGGAACTGAAAGCTATGTTGGTGTTTGCTGAACATCGATACTATGGAGAGTCCCTACCCTTTGGTGACAATTCATTCAAAGTAAGTATACTTTTTACTTTTAAGTTTTAAAGTTTTGGGGTTTTTTATTTTTATTTTTTTTTAGTTTAGAACATTTTATGATTACATGACCCACTGTGAGATAGCTTTAATTTGAACAACCTGAAATCTCAGTAATTTGTACTTAATCTTTTTGTATACAATCTAAACAGACTGAGACTTTTAAAGCCAAATTATTATCATTCCTAATGTCAATCAGTTTTTACTCAGTGAATTACCTGAGCCGGGTCATTCTTACTCTGTAGCTGCAGAGACAGTGCAAGGAGCTTTGTTATTTCAGAAATGTCAGTAAACAATTCTGCTTTATACATTACACACTTAAATTATGGAACTGCCACTGGAAAAAATATAATGAGTATATAAAATTTATCGAGTAAGATGTTTTTCAATTAAAAAAATAACTTTGACTCAGTGAGGCTAACTGGCCACTTGGGATCTCTTTTAGGTCTTTTTTGTTCTTATAAGGAGTTTGGCTTCTACCATAGACCTAATAAACCAGGACACTTTCCTCAACAGAATCAGTTGTGTATTACCTATATTAATTTGCTACCTATACTATTTTTTTCTTTTTTTATATTTTATGTTAAAGATGTGGGGTACATACAATTCAGCTGCCTGTACTATTATTTACTTAATATTTTTCTTTAATAATAAACTTACTTTTCCAGCTTAGCACCATCATAACCAAGGGATCTATGTATTGGTTATTTTTTCCCAATTACATTAAAATAAAACAGTATACTTTAATTATAAATATATGTGTACTACCTAAGACCATCAGCATACACATATGCTTTGGGGAACTCTCAGCTAGAAGGACGTGGGGCCATTTTCTAGGCTGCTTGTTTTGAGAGTATGGAGGTTTTATTATTTTATATTATAAATAAAATAAATAAAAAAGAAATATTCTTGTGTTATAAATAAAGCAGAACAATTTGCTGATATTTGAGGGGTTGTATAGGAAGCTCTGTTTTTGTTTTGTTTTTTTGAGTTGAGGTCTCACTCTGTTGCTGCAGGCTGTAGTGCAGTGGCACAGTCATACTCATTACAACCTTGAGCTCTTGAGCTCAAGTGATCCTCCTTCATTAGCCTCCTGAGTAGTTAGACCTATTCTTTAGCTTAGCATTTTGCATAAGCATCGGATTAGAGGAATTGACAGGTCCTGAAATCATTGGGAAGCAGTTAGCTTGTTGCAGATAGAAGTAGAACTCTCTCTCCTAGGTCCCTGTGATTAATACTCTGCCAGCAGAATGGAGTGGGGGCTCTTTTTGATATGCTTCTTTTCCTTTGTGTGCTCTCAGAATTTGTCAGGAGCATGAAGGATGCTACAGATATTATGCAAGGATTAGAAAAAAATTGCACTCAACTATATACATAGCACCATAAAAACTGGAAGTAAGGAATAGTGATAGTGAGAGAGGAGGTAAAAAGTTAGAAAGCATACATCTTGGATGAGAGGGAAGGCTATGTAGGAAGGAGGAAAGATGGGAGCTGAACGATTCACAGGATGCAGGAATCAGAATGGTGAGACCAAAGCATGAAGGGCAAACAGGGTAGCTTAATATAGAAATGTAGCTATATTAGTTAGCTATTGCTATGTTAAAAAGTGCCTTAAACCTTAGTGGCTTAAAACAGTAATAAATATATATTACTTTGCAGTTTCTGTGGGTGAGAAATTAGGAGTGGCTTAGCTAGGAGGTTCTGTTTTAGGGTGTTTCATGAGGTTATGATGTTAGCTAGTGCTGCAGTCATCTGAAGGCTTGACTGGGGCTGGAAAATCCTCTCTACTCATATGGAGGATCACTCACATGAGTGATAAACTGGTGCTGGATATTGACAAGAGGCTGCAGTTAAAGGTCTACTTGGGTTCATGATGTGACAACTAACTTCCCTCATAGCTGACTGTCTAGGAGAGCAAGGTGAAAGCTGCAGTGCTTTTTTAAATGACCTAATCTTGTTAGTCATTAATATAATCACTTCTGCCACATTCTGTTCATTAGAACCAAGTCACTAAGTTCAGCTCAAGCTCAAAGGGAATAGAATTAAGCTTCACTTTTTAAAGGAAAGGAGTGTCAAGATTTTGCAGACATATTTTAAAACATTTTGTTTGCCCCCTCAGTTCAGCAGGACTCTGTTTGAACTTCACCTCCCTATACTGCAGTAGGGAAATTGTCCCTGTATAAAAAGCTAGATGATTATGGAACTCATGAGTTTTCCTTCTCTCAGGGATCAATGTCTCGTGTTGCCTGTTTTCCAATGCCTGAAAATTGTTGTTGTTTTCTTCCCAATTTTATAGTTATTTACAATAGGCAGGCTCATTTGTTTCTGTTGTAGATATGGCTGATATAATATGTAATCTTTCTGATAAGAAAGAATGAATTTTATTTTTATTGGTGATTCTTATCTCCATTGTCCATAGGATTTAGTTTATGTTTGCCTATATTGTAGACATTTTAAATGTGTGAATATTTGAAGCAAAAGTTGTCTATTAAGCTTAGTTTACAATTAGTATAAATGATATTTAATGTAAAATACATTAGGTACTTCCATAAACTTAAAATCATTTTTTCATGAGTTGTTTAAACCAGCACAACTATTGCTTTGACTGGGCATTTTAGCTCAATTGCCTTGGAATTCTATGTGGAGAAAAGCTTATCTGAGATGTGCTCTCTTCTGGATCTATACTATGCCTAAGCTGCTATCATGTGTACATTTATACCCATGTTCTTTGTTATTTTTCTTTAGGATTTAAGACACTTGAATTTTCTGACATCAGAACAGGCCCTGGCTGATTTTGCAGAATTAATCAAACACTTGAAAAGAACAATCCCAGGGACTGAAAATCAACCTGTCATTGCCCTAGGGGGCTCCTATGGTGGCATGCTTGCAGCCTGGTTCAGGATGAAATATCCACATATGGTAGTTGGGTAAGTGCATTTATGTTGGACGTGAGTGCTTTCTTACTGATTGTCAAGTGACACTTAGAGATTCATTTTGGGTAAGACATATTTCATTCTATTATACTGAAATTTCTAATTTCTGTCTCATTAACAGCTATGTTATTTTTCTCACAATTGTTGTTAAATATCAGTTTCGATTTTAAAACTTGAATTAGATGAGTTATATGTATTTTTTTCTTTCCTTTTTTCTTTTTTTTGTCATTTAGTGCTCTTGCAGCTTCTGCCCCTATCTGGCAGTTTGAGGATTTGGTACCCTGTGGTGTATTTATGAAGATTGTAACTACAGATTTTAGGAAAAGTGGTCCAAATTGTTCAGAGAGCATCCGCAAGTCCTGGGATGCCATTAATCGACTCTCAAATACGGGTAAACTTTAATTAAGAGAGTAGAATTGTGGGTTAAAAAACAAACAAACTTTCATTTGTTAAATTCAACACTTCCTACTTTTTAAGCAAACATTTTGTTAACGTATACCACATATAAAGAAAAGTGCACAAATCAAAATTCATCGCTTGATGCATTTTCACAGAGCAAGCACATAGTATAATTAGCATCTGGATCAAAAGATAACATTGTCAGTGTGTCAGAAATCCCCTCATGCCTTTTCAGTCATTACCTCCACACCTACACAGCAAATCATTGCTCTCACTTCTAGAACTATATATTAATTTTGTTTGGTCTTGAATTTTTTAGTAATTGGAATTGCATATATGTATTCTTTTGTGTCCCTGTCTTTTGCTCAATGCTGTTTGTTAGATACATTCATTTATTTTACTTAGCTGTAGTTTATGCATTCTCATTGTTCTATAGTGTACCTACTTATTTATTATTTCAATAATATCTTAAAAAGGGGGAATAATTCAAAATAATAATTCTGGTAAGCTCTATGAGGATAGCCAACTTGCCTATCGTAGGATTCTCCAGTTGCTCTAAAAATATTCTTGGAGAAGTATAGAAGACCGAGTTTTCTAAAATACTATGTGAAGAATAAATAATCAGTAAAGCCTTCTGTTGATCAGAACTTCTTAGGTTCCAACAATGTGTTTCTATTCCCAGGCCATGGTTTGCTGTGGCTTACCGAAATCCTTCACCTGTGCAGCCCATTGACTTCTCAGGCTATCCAGCATTTGAAAGACTGGCTCTCTGAAACCTGGGTGAATCTAGCAATGGTGGACTATCCTTATGCATCTGGCTTTTTACAGCCTTTGCCTGCGTGGCCTATCAAGGTAACAGGAAAATGTCCTCTCATTATTTTTAATAACATCTTATTTTGTTCATGTGCATTCTCTGACTTTTAACATCAGAGAAAGTCCTAGTGATGGAGGGGCTCTGGAGTCCATCAAACCTGGTCTGGAATTCTGGGCTCTGCTACTTTCTGGTTATGCAGCATTGGATATGTTACCCCACTTTTCTGAGCCTCAGTTTTCTCATTTGTAAAACAGGGATACAGGCCAGGCACCGTGGCTCAAGCCTGTAATCCCAGCACTTTGGGAGGCCGAGGCGAGAGGATTGCCTGAGCCCAGGGCTTCAAGACCAGTCTGGGTAATTTGGTGAGACCTCGTCTCTACAATATATCAAAAAATTAGCCGGGCATGGTAGGGCACGCCTGTAGTTCCAGCTATTGGAAAACTGAGGCAGAAGGATTGCCTGAGCCCAGCAGGTGGATGCTGGGGTGGCCATGGGCATGCCACTGCACTCCAGCAGCCTGGGTGACAGAGTGAGACTGACTCAAACAAACAAACAAACAAACAAAAAAAACACGAAAAGAAAAGAAAAACAGAGATACAGAAACAAAGAACTGAATGTCATGTGTTTTCACACTTAAGTGGATTCTGAACATTTATCACTACTACTTATCAATACTACTGCCAGGGGAGGGGGGTGGGGCACATAATATTGCTAAGGGTACCTGATTCTAAATCAGGGAAGTGAGATACCCAAACTTCATCTGTATGTTGACTATGTATGTACTTAAACCTGACTTGTACCCTATGTTTTTAAAATAAAAGAAAAACAACAGCAAAAAATGCATCAATTACAGAGTTATATAAATTAATACCAAGGGTTACTGTTAATGGAATAATTACCATTTGCCAAATCCTGGACTGTGTATTTTGCATATATAATTTGTTTAATTTTTGTGTTATGTGTAAAACTCAGAGATCTATTTAATACATGGTTATAATCCAGTCAGCTGCTAAAGCATTCTAGGCAACACACATTGTGAAGGGGTAATCCCCATGCAGCATGGTAGAGTGGAAAGAACACTGACCTGAATCCTGAAGGTGAGGCTTTGGTCCAGAACTGCTGATTACCAGCTGTATGATTTCATGCCAGGTGCTTTCTTCCCTGACCCCCTGTCTTTCTCTGCAGAACAGGATAACATTACATAACACAATGGATAGGGTTGTGCTGAGAATCAAATAATCAAGTCTGGATGTTAAAAGACTTTGGAAAATGTAAAGACACATTTCACTATACATTTTAAAGTTCTTTTCATGTCAAAATTCTTTATTGTGTATGCTCTTTATAGGCATTCTTTTGGAAATAACTTTCCTCTTAGTTTTAAAAACAAAGGCTAGCCAACTTGGTGGTTAAGTTTAGGGAACATGACTGACTTTCAAGCTGGAATGGGTGCTGAAAGTGAAAACAGAATTGGTAATATGAGAGTCAGGTTTCAAAAGCTGTCTAGCTGTCCCTTTGAACTACTACATGTACGCCTTGCTTAAAACTTTGTTACTAAAATGAACAAGTCCATTTGCTATTAGAGTTATTTATCTTCATTTAAAAAGTAGAATAAAGGGATGGACGTGGTGGCTCATGCCTATAATTTTTGCACTTTCATATATGCTGTCTCATTTAATCCTTACAAAAATACTGTGGGGGGGAGGAGGAATATAATCTAAGATTTATGGAAGAGAAGTTAAAGCTCAACTAAGAGGTGGTGGAAGTGAGATTTGAACTTGAGTGTGCCATATTTCAGAGCCTATGTTATTCTACCTATTGTACTGGATTAGGAGGAGGCTTGATTGAAAGTTTGAGTGGATCACTGCTCACAGCATGACAACTATCAGATTTAACTCTGTACTCTGTATATAAAATGAGAATTACATTTGCATCTTTATTCCCACTTGAAGAACAAATGAGCTGTCAGATGATAAAAGCATATGAGGAATTCTCATTATTTAGAGCAGAGGTTGGCAAACTTTATCTGTAAGGACTATATTTTGGGCTTTGCAGGCTGTATGACAGAAGTCACAATTACTCAACTCTATAACTGTAGCAGGAAAGTAGTCATAGTTAATACATAAACAAACGAGGATTGCTGTGTCCAATAGTACCTTATTTATAAAAACAAGCAGACTGGATTTGGCCTGGGGGTTACAGTTTACTGACTGTGATCTAGAAAAAGAGCCAGAGGCACATAGCTGGTTAATGCTAGTTGGTTTATCATGATTTGGAACAGTGAGCAATCTAACTGGTTTCTTCCCTTTTCTTTAATATTTCTTTTGATTTAGCACATTCCTTTTATGTTTTGTACATATATATTAATAAACATTTATTTTTAAGCTAAGATAACTTTGTAACTTTTCCCCACAATCACTTTTACTTCCTTTGTGCAAAATCAGTTGTTGTCATTCTCTTTAGTTGTTTCTTCCCGACATCCTTTCTCTTGACAAATCAAGGAATTCTTGATTACTTATATTTGTGATTCTGTTTCCTGCCTGCACCCCTCCAGAAGTGTTCTTATCTCTTGTCTCTTGCTTGAGAGCTTCCATTGTCTCTGTTTCTAATTTCATCCTGTAGTTAGTTACCCATCTGATTTTCAGAATTTTTCCACTACGTGTCTCCTCCTTAATGTGTAGCTTCTGATCACTTTCTTTCACAGTTCATTCTATTTCTCCTTTCTTGACCCCCTCACTGTTCTCCCAAACCACTAATCCCTGGAACACTACCCAGTTGGGGACCGCTCTTTCACTTGGATAGTTCCATTTAACTAGGACTCCTCCTCCCTCTGATACACTTCCTCCTTTTTAAAGGGCTGACAAACAGCCGTCCTTTTCTGAGTCTGTAACTTAGGCTTAGGATGGTGAGATAATATGTAACAGTTGAGTTATGAAAAAAAGCAAATGATTTCCAATTCTGTCTGGACCCTGTACAGTTCTGAAGGATCCATGGGCAGCGACTAAATGACATTTTCCGTGTCAATTCAACTATCATTCTTTTTAATTTGTCTTAGGACTTTGCACACTCGACTCCATTTGCTTTTGTTTACTGTTAACAGAAGCTGCAACATTCATGCAGAAATAATCATGGACTTGGCTGGTGGAACACAAGAGGGGAGAAGAGAAAAGGGAAATAGAAAACCCCTCTGTCATTTGACTGTTCTATCAGCATAAAAACTACTAGGTTTCTTCTTAGTTTAAAAGAGCAGTTTTAAAGGATACTGTAATTTGTTAATTTTGGAATCATTTTTTAGCGGACATCTCATCCAATATTTTAGCTTAAGCTTCTGAGCATGCAGATAGATATAGTGAAATAATAAGACATAAGATGGAAAATCTCTTCCGTTTGTCTTGGCGTTTGGTAATGTATGCGACCTCTCTGGGTGGTTTAAGCGGTTTAGGTGCATTCTATGAAAAGGGAGCTTTTAATGACAAAACTAATGTGATTATCTGAGTGAGTGTGAGAGGGGTATTGAAGCCTTAGAGAAAGAAAAATCTGTTAGAAAAGCTGAATGTATCTGCTTAATCCTTTCTCTAATGTGGATGGACCATGCTCTCTGAGAGGAGATTGGTCTTTTTTTTTTCCAATCTATCATCTTTTAAAAAATTTTATTTGCATCCTTTTCCATTCTCTTATTCAAATGTGTATGCATGTATGCTCATAGGTAGAGACATTTAAAGCTTTTAGACAAATCATTATCTTTATTTTCTCTGGTGTATGTGGGGTCAAAGGGCAGAACCTAAATATTTGGGTGCAGATCTGATTAGCTTGATCATAAGGTTGCATGAATGGTCTACTTTCTCCACTATTTCTATACTCTTTAAAACCAGAATTATTAAAATGGACTTCTAATGCTTTTTCCAAGTGTTTCCTGAATGTTCTTCTTTATTCTAGGAAATGCCTCATATTAAACTTTACTATTATATATTTTTTAAAAGTTTTATGATTGTCACAGAATTTCTTCTAAGTTTTTGTCAAAACAGATAAACTTAGAAAAACATAAAGACAATCTAAGAATTTACAAAATAGGTTTAAAAAAATTAAGCATGAGACTGCAAGTATATTGGACTATTTGTGTTATTTTTCTCTTAACTTTTTCTAAAAGTTATGTTTCTATAACTTTCAAAGTTGAGTACATGTAGTACAGTTATAGTGGTTGGAAGCTCCAGAAAGTCTGCATTTGTTTGTTTGTTTTTAGAGTCAGGGTCTTATTCTGTTGACCAGGCTAGAGTGTAGTAGCACAGTCGTAGTTCACTGAAGTCTCACAATCCTGGGCTCAAGTGATCCTTCTGCCTCAGTCTCCTGAGTAGTTGGGACTACAGGTATACACCACCATGCTTCACTAATTAAAAAAAAATTTTTTTTAGAGACCATGTCTTGCTGCTATGTTGCTCAGGCTGGTCTTGGACTCTTGGCCTCAAGCAGTTCTCCTGCTTCATTCAGCCTCCCAACTAGCTGGGATTACAAGAGTCTGCATCTGAATTCCAGCTCTGTTTCTTTCTTGCTTATGTGATGTTGGACAAGTTTCTTAACCTCTCTGTGCTTTAGTTTCCTCATTTGAAAAATGGGGATAATAATAATTTTGTAATGCTTATTAGGATGGTGATGAGTATTTCTTAGGATCTGGTATATAATAAGCACTAAATTGATGCTATTTATATAATAATAACAATAACTATTATTGTTATTATATGATGTCAGGAAGTCAGATTATTATACCAGGACTTTGTGGGCAAAGTCTGGGTTCAGACCTGAATTCATAGTGGGTTTTCTTTTTCCATATCAGATGCGGAAATGTGCCGATGGCATAACAAGGCTTGAAGGAGACACGTCTTACACTTAAGTGTGAAAACCAAGCCATCAGCCTTCCTATACTTACAGTTTTTAAACTGTATGTCTTTAGTGAGACTTCTGTGAACTTGTTTTCTTCTTTGTGACACAGGAATGGTCATTATCTGTTGCTCCCTGCGTTCTCTTCTCTGCATTCCATGAGTCCACT